TTCCACTTCCTTTTACTAGCCACAAACTTATTTTGTTAGCAGCCTTTACCATGATAGTCTGAACTTGTCTTTATTCCATACTTTTTAGTACTAGCCGTTTGATACCAGAAAGCATGAGCTCTTTCCAACATTTTGCTATAGGTAGTAAAACGGTGAGACATGAGGATTTTGTGAATGTCCTGATGAAGCCTTTGCTAAAATCCCTTTATTTATCTAAATTCAGTAGTCACCAAATGTAGAGCATACTTAGTTACCTGGTCGAACTTTTTCTTACAATCAGCCAGAGTCATGCTTCCTTGCCTTAGCTGTAAGAAATCTGTTCTTTAAAGTCCCTTAATGCTCGGGAAAAGAACTTCTAGTAATTTCTTCAAATTGATTCCAAGTCAAAGCCTCTTGCTTAGCTTTGGTCCTAGTTCGAAACATTGACTCCCACCAATGATTTGCTGCTTCAGTGAATATAAACTCCGTGCACCGTACTTTTGTGTATCATTGTCATCTATAAGCTAGAAAAATTGTCCCAACTTCCGTAGCCATTCCTCGGCTGTTAACGGATCACTATGCTTCTGAAAATTTCCAAAATCAATGTTTGAGTTGGGCAACTAAATGGTTTGCTTGCAGGGCTTGCCTTCCAAGCCCTTGCACCGCTTACAACAAATCTCTTATCAAATCATTCTGGTTTGGTTGTGCCATTTCTTTTAAACACGAAAATAAGCTTTTCATCCTTTAGACATGCATGCTGCCAACTCAAGAATGATTTTTTTTTTTTTTTAAGTGCACAAATCCATTTATAATCTAAAACGCCTAAACTTAAAGTTTACATGTCACTGGACTTAATTGAAATTGCAAAGAAAACTATAATGATTGATATTATTTTTATTTATTTATTTTATTTGCCTATCTATAAGACTTCTACATCCCTTTCTCAATCTTCAACTGGATACTCTTCGGGGTCCTCTTCTACCATTTCCTTGATGATCCCCGATTGGTTGATTTACCTTATAATCCTTAATGGTTGAATTACATCATCGTCTATCATCACTCTTGAATCTAAACTAAAATGTAAGGTTACTTTCCCGAGGTAGGTCTCTCAATAATCTAAAAGAGCATTACAAAAATCTTTATACCTATGGTATGAGGATTCCTCAATGGAATTACTGAACCCATTTCTTTAAATAAAAGCTTGCCAATACACTCTTCATGAGTTGCTAATGTATTCAAGAGAAGCCGAATGGCTTGTTGATTGCTAATCTGATAGCGTGCATTCTTAGTTGCTACCTAATGCTCATTAACACTATGTACGTGATCCACCAGATCTAAGGAATCCTCAACTTCAAAATCCAAATACGTTCTAATCGCCATTTCTAAGATGCTGACTAAGTTGCATCTTCTTCTTCTAGCCATTTATCACCCATTGTTATCATAGTCCAATATACATATTTTTTCACAACTAAAAATAAAAATTTATGAAAACATAACTTTAAAATTTCATGAAAATGTTCAATAAAATTTTCATACCTGGGTTGAGGATGTGGGTGATTGATGATGTAGAGAACCAAGGAGAATTCAAATCCTTATCCAATTTCTCTAATTTTACAGTATATTCTAAACTCATTCAAGCACAACATAGTAAAATTTCAAAATTTTCTAACATCATTTAGGCACTCAAATGGACAATCAAACATATGAAAAAAAAAATTGTTCTCTGGTACACGAACACGATACATGGAAAAGGGCATATCTTATCTCATCGACTTTCAATTGACTTGATTCCAAAACCAACAGAGAGAGGACTCATAGGGCGGTCAAACCACATTAGTTTTGTCAAAAAACTCAAATAATTCTATACGAGATGACATCAATAAAATTCATGGAGTAAGCTGATATTTATTTTTTACAAGTTAAGGTTTAATCTTAACTTCTTTAGCAACTTTAATTACATGCATATTTAAACTGATTAAAATTTCAACAGTCACATCAAGAAAAAAGAACTAAGAAGTCTTAAAAAAAGTAAAGATAAACTAACATCTTTTAAAAATCAAACATAAGTTGCATAACTAGTAAGAATTATAAATTCTTCAAATATAACTACTTACACAAATGAAGCACATTCTTCATTTGGATCTTTTGCAATCCACTTTCTTGGCCATCCTTATTTCTGAAAAAGTTTTCAATATAGAAGGTGTGAGCTTTAAACTCAATAGGACTTATATCACTTGGTGTACCCTTCTGATCTCACACACACATACACATACAAAGGAACAAAATGTGTTGAAGTATTTTTCTTTCACACCCTTGCAATTCTTTTTGAGCTTAACTTAACTAAAAAGAAATTCTTGAAAGAAAAATAAAGGCAAATTCAGATTTGAGAAGAGGTACGATAAAAAAGTGGCATTCTTCTTCTTGTAACTTCCCTTTTTAGTGAAAAACTAAATAGAAGAGTACTACCATCATTAATCTTGTTAAATTGAGTCTTTAAGTAAGAATTTAAAGAGTTTTAAGCTTATAAAAAAATAATTCTTATAATTTTTTTTTAGAAAACATTACATGATGAAAAATTGATGAAAATGAATTATTTATGTTATTTGTAACCTGTCTCTATGAATGTCCACTAACAAGAATAATTATTCAATCCACTTAATTTGATATAGTTATCCTTAATGTATAAAATGAGGAGTTTTGACTCAAAATATTTTATATTTTATAAAAATATTTGCATGGTGATTCAAACTTGGGTTTCGTATGTGAAATAGATAACCACTGTGGCAACCTAGTTTTTCGTTAAATTCTTGTAATCAAATTTATTTAAATGTAATGTCTTAAATCTTTGGGCATTCAATTGTGTTTGAGTCACATTATTTTAAAAAAATGTATTTTGGAATAGCAGATTGATATAGAATGTGTTGTTAAAAAATAAGGAAAACTTTTGAATTTACGTGTAATATTATTTTATTAAAGAATGTGTAAGTAAGATGATATAAAATTACCGTTTAAGATTTTTTTTGAAGAATATGGCTCAAACAGAGCCTTAAATAACTTATATTATGGGCTTTCATCATTTTAAATGGTCTAAGCCTCCATTGCTTGTTTCTTAATGGACTACACCAATCAATTTAAGAATATAAAATGGAAAAATTTCATTATAAGAAATCAAGTATGACTCATATCAAAACTAAGAAACATGGTTTAAACTTCAAAAATTAGATATTAATTATATTTTTATTTATGAAATAATTATATATATATATTATTTCTCGATTACGAATAAAAATTTTTATAGGCCACAAATTATTTCACGGTTATAAATAAATTTTTTTTTATAATTCATCGATCACAAATAAAAAAATTTATATGTCAAAAAACACAAAATTTATAAGTCAAGATTCAAATTTATAAGTCACATATTATTATTGGTCACAAGTTATTGGTTATATATTATTATTGGTTACAAATCACAAATTTTATAAGTAACAGTTTACTTTATGATCATTATCAAATTAATTGGTCACAAGTTATATCTCTGTCACAACATAATAAATTGTGAGTCACGATCACATTTTTAGATTAGATATGATTTATTGATAAAAAAATTAACCAATTTATTGGTTGGTTACAAACACCTTCACTCGCCACGATTGTCCTCGCCATCAGCATCACCATGACTACACTAGCATCCCTGACATCTCCAGCACCGTCGTCATCGACACCACCGCCATAGCTTTAACCACCACCACCACCGCAACCATCACCACCTTGGTAAACACCGCACAGATCAGGGCCTCATAGTGGTGTTGTAGATGCTGCTGCGACACTCAAATCAGCCTCGCTTCTATTTTCAGATCGATCAACCCCAAAACCACGGAGATCGTTGCGACAAACACTACACAGAGGTGTGCAGATCAGTACCCTACAGCGGCGCTTTAAACCCCGCTACGATGTTCAAATCAGTGTCGTTGGATCTGAAAGCATTACTTCCATTTTCAAAATGACGCTGTGCTGTCTCGCGGCAATGGTGTCTCGCTGAAAAGGTGCACCGTCTGGAACCGTTGCTGTAAAATCAGCGTCTCTAACGGCAACGCCCTTGAAACCGCTTGGAACTATTGTGAATGGCAGGGCAATGCTGTTGTGAACAGTAGCACGGTGTTGTTGTTGCGGTACTCGTGGCTGCTGTAAAAATCGGGGGAAAGAGAGATTGCTGCGAGTGAAGAAAAGGTAGAGAGAAGGATAACTCATCGTTGCTATGATGACATCGTCGATAGGGAAGAGTGACGCCACCTCAGCGCAATGCGACGATGATGCCGTTGTGGTGGTCTCTCGGTAGTGTAATGAGAGTTGCTAGGGTGAAGCATCTTGGGAGTGGTTGCGCCATGGAGTTGAAGTAGAAATGAATACTGAATAGCTTTTGAAACTGTAAGTTAGGTTTTGTGGAAGTGAGAGTTGAGGTAGGATGGGTAGGGTAGAGTAGAGTTGAGTTGATAAATTAATTTAATTTAATAATAATATTATTAATATTTAATATTTAAATTATAATATGATTTTTGAAAAAAAAAGCCTGTAACTCTTAATTATGAATTGAGCTTTTGTAAACGCTCCATCTCTGTAATTTCCACACATAAAATTCAGGATTTCACGGCTAACACTATAAATACATCTGTAGATTTTTTTTCATTAACTTAACACTATAAAATTTGGGACTTTAAAATTAACTAGAGTGGGTTTACAGAACACACTCTTTAACACTATTACCCTGTGGGCCATAAGTGGTTGTCTGAAGATATGTACTGTTCTGTAAGCAATAAATATATAATATACATACAACTGAGAATATACACACACATTCAGAGAGAGAGAGAGAAAAAAATATAAAAAGAATACCCTTTGCCCACTCTCACAGAGCCTCTCCGCCCTTGTGAGTTTCTGCCCCGACCATCCACCAAAAAACTCCCCCAGAAGGCCACCGAACCACCATGAGAATACGGAAGAACGCTAAAATTTGTCCATTGATGTATGCAGCTTCTTCACTGAAATCTGGAAATGTTCTTCAAACCCATATTTGCAAATTGAATCAATCCCCTTGGGACGTGATGAGCTTTTCTCCATCATCATATCCTCCGCCACCACCTCCTCCACCGTCGTTCAAGGTTAGTGAAGTTTTATCTGTAATGACAGGACTTTAATTCTGTATACAGATCTGTTGGAAACCATTTTTATTCTTGTCAAATTTACTTTCGTTTTTGCTTTTATTCTTTTTTCTTCTAGGGTTTTCTGAAAACCCCACCAGTCGGGTTCATTAAAAAATATGAATGAAAGGGTTTTTGTCGTGTATTTGGTCTTCGGAATTTGAATTCTTTTGTGTATTTTCACTGTATTTGTTTATTATAGCTTGCTTGTTACTATTTTTTCGACGTAGAATAATTTCTATGCAGGTCAATGGAACTGATAATTTAGCGGGAAATGGAAGCTTGGGAGAACCTAATGCAGCTTTTCATAGGTGATCCTTTTATTTTGTGTTTAATTCGGATTATCTTACAATTTCCAGCTCTTTATTGACGCTGAAAATAATTAGGGTTCTTCAATCAGCATTATTGATTTTTTAAAATTTGGAGTCAAATGTTTATTTGGATTATTATCAATAGTGCTGCATCACTGAAAATTGCCGCGGAGAATGAACTGACTGGAGAGATCAAAGCTGTAAAATGGGATAATTCCAATGGCGAAGGCGATGGCGGCAATCTGAGAAGCTCTGCCCATGAGGACTCGGAGGAAGGGCCTGAGAATCCCGGGTTAAAGAAGGAAATGCAGATTGTATATTGTGTCAAGACTGATGGGAAAGCATGGAAATGCAAGAGGGAGGCGGCCGAAGGGAACTCTTTGTGCAAGCACCACTTATCTCAAGTGCGAAACTGCAACTTGTCTCTTCCAGCAGCAAAGAAACAAGATAAAGTGGTGGCTGACTCTCCGCTCAAGCCACTGGGCGAGAAGGCAGCTTCAACGTCAAATTCGAATGAATTTTACTACTATTCAGGTTTTGGACCGCGTTGGGGCAAGAAAAGAGGCGAGAACAATCGAGTTAGTAGTAGTACTCTAGTAGAGCAAGAATGTGAAACGATATCATCCACATTCTCTGAAATTGACAAAGAGAAATTCGAGATCGAGTATGAGGAAGACAAGGAGGGTGATGAGAGTAGGAGGAAAAGAGCTCGAAAGCCAATTAAATAAGGGCAGAGTCAAGAATTACTGTTACGATAGGCTAAAAATTTAAAAAATTTAATGTACGAATAAAATTTATATATAATAAGAAAAATTTAAAATATAAATTACCTGTTGAAGTTATACTCGGCGATGTTTTACAGCATAAAATTCATCTATAATAGAATCTAGATCTAAATTCATACTAAATTCTCGTTCAATGTTTAGTGTTAAACAATCAGCAAGAGAACCATCATCCATTTTGTTACGAATTTTCGTCTTCACATGTTTCATTGATGAAAATGCTCGCTCCACAATCGCCGTTAAAACAGATAGTGTCAGTACTAAACAAATCAATTTAGTCAAAATGACGTAACTCTCCGACCATCTACTTGCAACCAATTCCCGACATAAATCAGAAAGTGTAAGTACTTGAAATCGAGGTTCAGAAATCACATCATTTTGATAATGTTGCAACTCAACTTTCAAACAATAAATATCTTACTATTTAAAATCTTCAAGATAAAACTTCTCTGCAAGCTTGCAAATATTATCCATATTTAATGATTCAAAAGAATTTTTTGAATCCAAAGTTGTACTGAGAGAAAGGAGCTCTATTGATGTCTCGTTAAATCTTGTATCTAACTCCATCATTTGAAAGTCAATGGCTGCATTGAAAATATCAAAGTGATAATGATGTTCAGTGGTAGGATACTCACGACCACGAGAATGACCAACCATATACGAGCCATCAAAGTCAGGTACATGTATATCATTTTTGGAGCAAAAACATTTCACCTCTTCAAGAAATTCTTCCCAGCCATCTCTTCTCAATATTTGAAAGATAGTTTTTGTAGTATAGACAAATTTCATAGCAGTTAAGATGTCTTGAGTTTTCTTTTGAAGGGACTGACAAAGAACATCCGCAATTGCTAATATTCTATGCATTAAATGTAAGATAAATACAAATTCAAATGTTGTTATGGTTTTGTATACACCACCAATTTCGGACCGAGATCTTGTACTTGGAGAACGATCACTAAGATACTCAAGCACCTTGCAAGTTGCAGTATACATATCAATCAAACTCTTTACAGAGCTGTAATGAGAATACCAACGAGTACTTTTGGATCGTTGCAAATTACCAATCTGATTAGCACAACTTCTGGACTCTCGTTCTCCAATTTCTAACAAATACTCAATTTATTTTCTTAGGGCACTTTTCAACTCATTGATGCGCTTAGGAGATGATGTAATCATATTAATAACATTGTCCAAATGAGAAAAAAATGAATTAATAACTGAGACATCCTTACCTGCAAAAACCAATGTGAGTTGTAAACGCATATGGACAATCTTTAAAAAGTAATGCCTGTAGTCCATTCCAAGAACCACGCATATTATTAGCACCATCATACCCTTGGCCTTTCATGTTTTGCACTTGAAGGTTGAAATGAATAATAACATCAGAAATCTGATTCTTAAAATTTAATAAGGTAGTGTCACTGACACTTTTAATTGCAGAAAAAAAACTTTGTCAAAATTCCATTACTGTTTACAAACCTCAGGATAATAGCCATTTGTTCTCGTGAAAATTCATCTCGTGCTTCATCAACAAGAATACTAAACTTTGCATCCCCAATTTTCGTACGAATTCCTTGTCCCACTCTATTGGCTATAATGCTCAAAATTTCTTTTTGAATGTCTGGAGACGTGTATGTAGTATTTTTGGGAGTATTACTCAACACAACTTTTCCTACTTCAATATTGATTTTTGCAAATGCATCCACTAATTCAATAAAATTCCCACTATTCAGTGAAGATGGAGATTCGTCATGGCCTCTAAAGGAACAACCTTGAAGAGCTAACCACTTAACACTCATAATAGTGGTCTTTAGACGCAAACAATTTTCCTGTTTTTCCTCATTTGATACAAAATGCATTACCTTGTCAATATGTTGAGTTGGTTTCATTAAATCTTAAGCTCTTCTCTTACATCTATTATGAAATGATGACGATGTTGTACCAACATGAATAAGAAATGCACATTTACTTCCTTGGTTAACCCTCTTCTAACTATCAAATCCAACAGTAACCAATGATGAAATATTAGGTAGAGTACTATCATTGAGAAAAAGGAAGCAGTAAAAATAATATGCCTTATGTGTGGAAGGCGAATATTCCAACCAAGGAAATTGATTATACCAACGTTTCTGAAATCGACGTTTTTGCTTTTTACATCCTTTGCTCTATACTCCAAAAGTTTTGGTTGATAAGGTCCAACATTTAGATAGGCCCGCCTAATTTGATCGTATTCATTAAATGGATATTCATATATTTGCTTTCTTTTTTCAGGGTCCATTCAATAGAATCAGATGGTTCAAAATTAAGATTGGAAGATGAAGGCCGTTCAACTCCAGGGCATGAAATTGGAGGAATAGGCACCGTAGGAATTGGAGAATCCAGAGATTTGTTATTTCTTGGTAGAAGGTCGATCTTCTTCCATATTAAATCTAAAAGTATAAAAATTAAAATGCTTCAATATCCCATAAAGGCATAAATATAAATTTATAAAACCATAATCATAAAACCAATTTACCGTTTGCTATGAAATGAGATTTTTTTATCCAAAGTCAGAGAACCAACCTTAAACATTCTCAACTAGTTCAGCAACCTCTGGACCCTCTTCTTAACAAATAGCACAGTACTTCAAAGAATCAAAATACTTCACCTACAATTAAACAAAAAAAATCCATCAAGTGAGTACAATTTAGGGGGGGGGGGGGGCAATCATTCCATTTCAACAAGAGTCGAAGTCCTCTTCATTCGTCAATCAAAACAGGAATGTGGGAGTGTCTTGATTATCCGGTTAGTACTCATCGTAGAACTGGGCTCCACTCATCTTTCAATGGTCGAAAAACTAAACATGTCATAAAGGCGAGTTTTAGTGATCATGACTACTATGTAATAGGAAATTATGATTTGAAAACGGATAGATATAATGTTGATGTTGATTTCATGGATAGTATTAAGCAGCTTAGATATGATTATGGTATGTTCTATGCTTCCAAAACATTTTATATCGAGAAAGGATGGTCTGGAGTTCAGGTAATCTATGTCTAATCTTTTCTGTGCTCTCCTCATTTTTGGCAATTTATTGCTTCTTGATTTTTTTCGAATATTAACATCTTATAAATCGTGGCCACCCATTTATGAATATTTCACAAGGCAAGAGTTTGATGAAAATATGAATGTAGACTGTATTTCCTGATACTTGGATTTTTGGCAGTCAATTCCAAGAACCGTATTGCTCGACAAAAAAGGGAAGCAGTTAGTGCAATGGCCAATCAGAGAACTCAAAAAACTATGGTCAAGAGAAGTCTCTCTACATAATAAAGAAATAAAGGGTGGAACTGTGCTTGAAATTTCAGGAGTCACAGCTTCACAGGTATATGCTCAAATCATCTTCTTAAATATTCCTATCGACTGCTTGAAAGCCTCAAATGATCGACTATAAGCACCATCATTCATTCATTCCATCAAGTGAGTAAAATTTCAGTTCCCTGCTCGTCTGTTCTTGTTCCCACATAATTAAAAGACAAACAATTGAACAAGAAACATAATAAGTAGTAACTATCCAATAAGGCAATAACCCAAAATACCAAGTATAATTAAATTATTCCAAGTTTCCAATGACCAACATCTTGAACAAATTTAATTATTTCTTCTGCAAATGACGGGAATGGAAAAGATATTGAAAGATTTTCAATACAACAAACCAAGTATAATTAATTGAAAAGATATTGAAAGATTTTCAAATTCTAAGAAACTAATTAGCAAATTACTTACCCTAAAACCTAACCCTAGTCGTCGGTAGCCAGGCTTGAGGCGGCGAATCAGTGCAACTGTGCAAGTCCGCCACTAACGGGCCGGAAAGATTTTCAAATTCTAAGAAACTAATTAGTAAATTACTTACCCTAAAACCTAACCCAAGTCGTCGGTAGCCAGGCTTGAGGCGACGAATCAGTGCGACTGTGCAAGTCCGTCACTTACGGGCCGGAAGTGAGTTGGGCCAGTCGACAATTGACAATTCCGTTACGCCGGCGGCTACGGGTAGGGGCAAACTGGCAAAGTGAAGATAGGGATTTTAATTTTTTATTTTTGGGACTTCTGTGAGTTGATTTTGCAAATGACGGGAATGGAAAATGTTTGGGAATTGGGGATTAATTATTTGATTACACGGTAATTACTAATGAAATGGGTATTATTTTGGGCCTAAATTTATATAGGTTAGTGGGCTACAAATTAAATAATTTTTTTTTAGAGTGGGCTAGCCCACTGAATTTATTTGTTAGTGGGCTAATGTGGCTGAATAATTACAATTCAAACCTTTTTTTGGTATCCGGGTTGGAAGACAGTGGGCTGCAGCCAAGTGCAGCCCACTACTGAATCCGCCCACGCAATTAAAGCCAGGTCACTAAAGTCCCTGATGTGATGGGGGGAAACCTTGTGTAAGAACTAAAAATGTGTGGTTTTTAATAACTTTTTGACCCTTTTAATATTATACTTTGGTTTAATGCAATTTTTTTTTTTGATGTTTCGAATATTTAGGTACTTCGGATATTGATTAAAAATGTAAAAAGTCGATTAATTATAGCTAATGTGACTTGGAAAAGCTACTTGTCCAGGCCACATGACGGCCCCGCCATGTGGCCCTTGATGTATGGTAGGTCCCATGTGACTTTTTTGTTATTTCATTAATTAGACTAAGAGTCTGTTTGATTTGGTTAATTTTTCATTTTTCATATTTTTTGTTGTTTGATTGCAAAAATTTCCCCGACAATTCGTTTTCCTCCCCGCCCGCCCCGCCCTGCCCCACGTGAATGATTTTCCTTGGTTTTGTGAAAAACCAATTATCATGGTTTGGGTGGGAATTGGGTTTTTCAGTTTTTTTTTTTAATTTTCGACAATGGAAAAAAAATTATATTTACAATTTTAACAATTTCTATCCCTTTAATTGACAATTTTTATGGAAAACAATGCCAAATGAACACCAAAAGATCCAAAATTTAAATATTTTTAAGGTGAAAAATTATACCAATCAAACATATTTAATTGACAATTCCTGATAAAACAAGTTTCAAGCAATTCAATTGCCTAAAATTCATTTTCTTTCCATCCAAATTTCATTCTTACAATCAAACGGACCCTAAAAGTTATGAAAAATCAATTTTTAATAGTTGCCGCTAATTAATTAAGGCACTTTCATGTTTATAACATATTACCCATCTTGGGTCGTAGATATCATCAATAATAAATTATGACGCTTTAACATTAGTCAATAATCAATTGAAACACTTTCACGTTAATTACATGTTACCCATCTCGGTCATATTGTCTTTGCTTAACTAAACAGTTTATTGCATATAAATCAATTGCTTAAAAAATGACTGGTGTATTTTGACAAATTTACCCCTTTTTCGTAAAATACCTTCCTATTATCATGAAATTGGAATAAATAGATAACTATTTGTACACACTGCCATTTTAAGGAAATTTGATGGAAAAAACCTAACGCCAAAGTGAAGAACTCGGTTCAAGAAAAGCGAAGTTCCACAAAAATCCTGGAATGCAGGGCGGTCCCGTTAAGGGTCCAACTGGGTGCAATTGCCACCATTGAACCCTTAATTTTTGACATTTTAAAAAAAAAATCCCCATAATTTTGGATCATAATTTTCACAATTATTTTTTACACAATTTTGTCTCGTCTCCAGTGAACTATAATCTTGGGTCAGCCCTCGTTGGTGGCAGGAAAATTTAGAGGATGATGAAGGGACGAAGAGAAAGGTGATGGTTGAAGTGGAAATGAGATGTTGGTAGAGGAGGAGAAGCCCAATTGGCGTTTGGATTCTGATGTCAAGTTGGGATAAGAGCATCTTAAGTATTTTGAGCAACACTCGATAAAAAATGTCATAGATGACAACGTCGAGATTGTATTATTGTTTTGAGTGTTACAACATGCAAGTTATAGTTCCAAAGATAATGGAATGTATTTCAATCTTGCATATGTTAATTACTTGAGTATTCGGCACCGATTGTTAAAGGGCAAGTGATAACTGGAATTTTTTACACTCTCACATTGAGTGTATCACTAGACTTCAAACAACTAAGCAAGAGTATGTGTTTGAAACATGTGAAAAAAATAATGGTTATAAATTGACGAGTACTTGGACAATTTTGTCCCCATAAATCTTGGATGAAAAAGTGAAACAAAAAAAAAAAAAAAAGGGGAAAAAAAAAAAAAAAAAAAAAAAAAAACGTAAAAAAAAATCCTAAAATGCCATAAAATTCCAAGTTTCAAGAAATGAATGGGGAAAGAAAGAAAGAAAGAAAAGAAAAATCGTAAGAAAAGATCCTAAAATGCCATTCTTTCCATATTTGGGGAAATACACTCAGAGAGCCTTTTTTGGTAGGATAAAGATATTTGTACAAAATCTTGTTGACAAAATGATGTACTAGCTCTCACAAAATTAACGGATTTCACATGAATTTAAAAAATGTCGATTTGCGATCCCCACCCCCACTGTGATTAGTGAATAAGGGAGTTTGTATAAAAAGTTTGTACATGCAGCATGATCCTTTTGTTATTTCTTAGAAAGCCTCTATTTCAGAAATTTTAAGTGTTTTTATAACATTAAGAGAGCGTTATAATCTTTTAAAATTCTTCTTAATTTTGGACACCCGATACAATTGAAAAATTAAAACTCCGTTTCTATTTGTGCTCTTTGACTTCTAAATGTAGATTTTCTCTCCTCCCTGTGTGCGTTTATCTGTGTATAAATCGAATGTGAGCACACGCGTATGCATGCTAAGAGAAGTTTGATTATCTTGAATTTTCCATGTTAGGATTTGTCATTTATGATTCCGTTGATAGTTGCATGCCAGGTGTTTGATTTTTTGTCTACTCAACGACTGTTTAATTTCTCGTTAACATTTACTAGTAAATCTTGAAACTAATAACAAACTTAGTGGACTCCATTAAATGTGTTAGGTTTCGGTTTTTCACATTCTTGATTGTTCTTCCTTTCTTGCTGGCTGTTCATTAAGTGAAATTACTGTGTGGCGTAATGATTTTAGTCTGGCCCTGTAGTTTTTGCTTCATTTTCGTATAATTGCTGCAATTTCATTCTTAATTTCTGTTCAGTGAAAGGAGTCCACGTAATTGCTCCCAATTTCAGTGATTTACGTGTTCCCTCGTCTCTTGGACGGAAGAAAGAAGGAAAGTTACTGAGCGACTTCAACAGGTTGTCTTGAGATTTGACCAGAGTGTTTTCAGGAAGATTTTAGGTTGACTTATTCCAAGTGAGGAATAAAAAGCCGTTCCTTTTGGTGTTATATAATAATTGGAAAAAGTCACTTTGCCCGAATTTTGGTGACAGCTCGGTTAAACAACCATCACATTGTGCATGGGTCCGCGTGAATTAAAGAATGCCGACCCTCCCATGTGTGTGTGTTCGGTCATCCCCTATATCATCCTTATATTCTTGTAGCTTGGTCCATAATAATTTTGGTGATCACTGTATGAAGATGGGTTGCTTCATTTTTGTGAGCTCAACTCAAACTGATTCAGTAAGATTTGAAGTCCAAAATCGGTCCATTATTGATAAGATGGTTCTAGAATAGATAATAATGTATTTTCATACTTGATTAAATTCACCTCTTCATTGGATGCTTGACACCTATGTTACAATAGAACTCAAGAAATACACAAAGTATTTTCAGATCTCACATAGAGAAAAAATTCGACCTAGAACAGGACCAAACCAAAGGTATATTGTTCAATCAATTGTCAGGGCTCAGAAATTAACATTGTACCCTTCTGTACAATAGTAGAGACACCAAGAATCAAACCTAAACCCCACAAAAGGAACCGGGACGCAACTACTTCGACGAGCCACAAAGAAAACCTCCTTCAATGACTCCACTAACTCCTTTCAAAAGAATCACTTAGATTTACTGTTCACACAGAATGAATCAAGTTCCAAATTACAGAGATCTTGGAAAGAAAAACACGAAGAAGACGAAGGAGAGAAGAGGCAGAGAAAATGACTCATTCTAGAGAGTTCAAGAGTCACCAGAAAAATATCACGCTCGGTCAACTAGGGCACCACCAAAGGTCCCTTATATTGAAGAACAAATCACCCTAGATCAGCTGGGTGATCCAAGGGCTCAGAGCAGCACACGTGGCCTCATGTTTGGGCTCGGGTAGATGGGCCTCTACCATTAAATTATCGGGCAATGGAAATATAATACCAGCTATTGGGCCGGGCCCTTTTCATCATAGCCCAATTGATTGATTTGGCATTACAATCCAAACAATCTCCACCTTGATGCTAATGACCAACATGCATACTACAAAGATATGAAACAAATTCATTTTCTTCTTTAAGTTCCACAGATCATTGCACCAAGAGGTTTAGAGTACCTGCATTACAACAAAGGTTACCCAGTATCAATTTTCAGCATTTTCAAAGAGGACCTAAACTTATTAAGAGACAGTACCTTGGTCCCCATATCAGCAGGATTAAATTCTGTTGGAATCTTTTCAAGTACAACAGATTCTTTATGAATTATGTCTCTTATAAAATGCATTCTAACATCTATATGCTTGGTCCTTTCATGAAATACAGGATTTTTACACAGATAAATTGCACTTTGACTATCTGAGTAAACTACAACAGGTTGTGACAAAATATTAATTTCACATAACAAACCTTTGAGCCATAGTGCTTCTTTTATGGTTTCAGTAGCAGCCACATATTCTGCTTCAGTGGTTGAAAGTGCAACAATAGGCTGTAATTGTGATTTCCAACTCACACAAGTGCCACACAAAGTAAACATGTAAGATGTGGTTGATTTTCTATTGTCCCTGTCCCCAGCATAATCTGAATCTACAAACCCCTTTAATATAACATCTTCTTTACTAGGATTAAAACATAAACCTAAGTTAGATGTTCCTTTTAGATACCTAAGTAACCATTTTAAGGCTGTCCAATGTTCAAGCCAGGATTGGCCATAAATCTACTTAGGGTACTAATCGTATGAGCTACATCAGGTCTGGTACACACTATAGTGTACATTACAGACCCCACAGCATTAGCATAGGGGACCTTTTGCATGGATTTCACATCAAATTCATCAACTGGACATTGATCTTTACTCAATTTAAAATGACTTGCAAGTGCTAAAGTGACAGTTTTTGATTCATGCATGGAAAATTTTGATATGACTTTTTCAACATAGGCAGATTGTGATAGAAAAAGAACCTGTTTGGATCTATTTCTCTTAATATCCATACCTAAAATTCTTCTAGCATGTCCCAAGTCTTTCATTTCAAATTCAGAGCATAAAGATCTCCTAATATCATTAATATCACTAAGATGCTGTCCAATTAACAACATATCATCCACATAAAGAAGTAGGTAAAAAAATCACAGATTCAGATTTATCTTTTTTCAAATATAGACAATGATCAAAAGAGCTTCTAAGAAAACCTACAGATGACACAAAGTTATCAAAGCGTTTATACCATTGTCTAGGCGATTGTTTAAGTCCATACAATGATCTCTTTAACAAGCACACATGCTCAGGTTTCTTGTTATCTACATATCCAGGTGGTTGTCTCATATAGATAATTTCATCCAAGTCTCCATGCAAAAAGGCAGTTTTTACGTCCATTTGTTCAAGTTCAAGATCATAATGAGCAACTCATGCAAGCATAACACGTATGGTAGTATATTTAACTACAGGTGAGAAAATTTCATTATAATTAATACCGGGTTTTTGAGTAAACCCTTTTGCCACTAATCTGGCCTTAATCTTAGGGGCTGATTTGCTATATTTCCTTCATTAATTATATAGATCCATTTACAATCAACTAAGGATTTATCTTTAGGTTTAGGAACCAAAATCCAGGTTTCATTTTTCCTTAAAGAGTTCATTTCCTCTTCCATAGCCAATTGCCAGTCTTTTGAAGACTGACAACTCATAGCCTCCTCATATGTTTTTGGTTCCTTAAAGGCCAGATCTTGACAAGTCAGTAAAGCTAGAGATAGGTAGTCTCTCATTTTAATGGGTTCCCTTATTTCTCTTCTAACCCTATCCCTAGCTAACTGGTAACCATCTAATGAATTTTCTTCTTCACCAACTTCTTGAACATCACCTTCACCTTCTATATTTTCATCAAAAACTTCACCAGTCTCTTCCTGAACATTATCAGTATGTTCAGGAGGTGACAAATGCTCCACCTGCAGCCTAGTCATCTCTTCTTCCTCACTACTAGAAGCACTAATATGATGTTTATTAGTCATGCAAGGCATATCACACTCATTGAAGGTCACATTCCTACTTGTGATCATTCTAAACCCCTTCACACTCCTATCCCACAATCTATACCCTTTAACTCCTTCAGGGTATCCCATAAAAACACATTTTTGGGATCTAGGTTCAAGTTTACCACTATTTTGATGGGAAAAGGCTGCACAACCAAAGGTTTTTAGATGACTATAATCTGGTATTTTTCCAGACTATATTTCCTCAGGTGTTCTGCCATCTATGGCACTACTTGGTAGGGGTGGGTGCAGGTTGGTTCGGTTCGGTTCTAAAGAGAATCGGTTAGAACCGAATCGAACCAAAATTTTCGGGTATTTAGTAAATGGAACCGTAGGGTCCAAATATAATTATGGAAACGTTCAGGTTCGGTTCCGTTCGGTTTAGTTCGGTTCGGTTCGGTTCGGTTCTGTACTATAATTAAATTTTTTAACATTTATAACAACATTATATAAATACAACTAATGATACATTCAATGGTTTTGGAATGTTAGAGACTAGTAAACTACATTGTTCAAATGATCGCTATGGTCAAAGCTTCGATCGGTGGAGGTCACAGTGTCGGCTGACGATTGTATAGGTTTTGGAATATTAGCGGGGCTGAGAGAGTGAGTACGAGAGTCGACACAACGTTATACACTTTAGTGTAGGTGTTTAGAGTTATTTAGTGGATTGGATCTTTTTGGGCTAAGAAATAAAACAATAAAATGAGTAATTGGGCCAAAAATTTAAAAATTAGAAATTAAACAAATTCTTGGGCCAAAAATTTGGATTTACAAATTGTTAATTTGTTAATTTGTTTAGAAAAAATTAAAATTAAAATAATTTGATTTATTTAATATAAAAAAAATTAGAAAGATTCGGTTCTTCGGTTCTTGGTCTAGAACCGAGAACCGAACCGTACCCGTCGATTCTCAATTCAGATACCCGTTCGGGTATTTAATTTGACAATTTAACAAGAACCGTTGGGTTCGGTTCGCTTCGGGTTCGGTTCGAGAGATTTGCTCAGCCCTACTACTTGGGGTTCTATTTATGATATAAACTGCAGTCATAGCAGCTTCACCCCACAGTACTTTAGGAACTCCAGAACTGATCATCATGCATCTTACTTTGTCTAGAATAGTCCTATTCATCCTCTCAGTAATTCCATTTTGCTGAGGGGTATAAGGAACTGTTTTATGCCTAAGGATCCCACTATCCTTACATAATTGATCAAAAACAACACTACAAAATTCTAGACCATTATCAGTTCTTAATACCTTGATTTTCTTCCCAGTTTGATTTTCAATCAAGGTTTTCCAAATTTAAATTTTTTCAAAAGTATCTGATTTTTGTTTTAACAGAAAAATCCAAACTTTTCTTGAAAAATCATCAATCAAGGACAGAAAATATTTGTTTCCTCCTTGGGTAATAGTAGATGAGGGTCCCCACAAATCAGCATGTACATACTCCAGAACAGAAGTAGTTTCATGCTTACCCGTATTAAAGTGAAGTCTATGTTGTTTACCAAGTATACAATAATCACAAAAAGGAATTTTTGAAACATTATCTTTTCCAAAAACACCCATTTTATTCAAAATATGCAGACCTCTTTCACTAACATGTGCCAGCCTATTGTGCAATTTTAAGGTGGCATCAACTCCAGCAGTTAAGGACTCAGCAGTATGACTTGAAACTATTTCAGCTCTAGTGACATATATACCATTTCTTTTGGCACCCTTGAATATTACAAGAGAGCCTTTAAAAACTTTTAACAAACCATTTCCAAGTTTAGCTTGGAGACCAATGTCATCTAGATCACCCATAGAAATTAAATTTCTATTTAAGTCAGGAACATACCTTACTCTCTCTAGGGTAAAGATATATCCATTTTCAAATTTTAAAGTCACACTGTCAATTCCTAAAACTTTACAGGCTGCATTATT